AGCATCAAAACATGTTGTGATACATCTATGGATTTTGCTGGTATAGGATTCTGATGGAAATCTACTGGAGATACTGCTCTCCTTAAAAACATAACTAGAAAATTGTACACATACCTTAGAAACGGTATCGCATAATTTTGTCAGTTTTAAAACTTGACTTTTCAAATCCACGGTATACCTTGAAACTGGTTATCGTCCCATGCTAGATGCATCAACCCATTATAATTTAATTGATTAACTCTTCATGTGTGTTAAAGACTGTCTGTCAGCATGAACCCTAATTATCTCTTCAGATCTGCTGCCTTTTTTTATAACAGAAGGTCCGTTTGTTTTTTTGTTTTTAGCCGGAATGCTGGGTGTATCTGCTCAGCGTTGTCAGTTCCAGCTTTATTACTCCAGAAGGACTGGTTGTTGGTGCATTGTTTGCCGAGCCTGACATCAACTTTCAAACGGTGAGAATGTTTATTTTGTTTTTTGCAGGGAATTGATTGGACAACATACTTGCATGTTATGATGGACACTGATAATTTTGTGCTTCTGTGCAGGTGACCAGAAAGGCTGCCAATGCAATTCTCGAGGAGCTGACAAGTACATCGCGCATACAGGTCCCCAAAACATTTGATATTGTGAGTTCAATTTATTAGTTTTTTTTTATGCATTTATTTTTTGGGCTCAAATCCTTATTCGTGTACGGGTTTGAAGAATAATATAACCTGTGTGTGTATTTAATGACGACAAATGAGATGTGCGTTTTCTATGTATAAAATAACTTTTGTATAGTTGGGTTAGGGATAGTTCAACCAAATAAATTTGTAAAATGTAATTTTGCTCCCTTGTTCAACCATTTAGTTTTTTGTTTTGTTGAACACAAGATACTTTGAATGTCTTCCATAGTAGGACAAACAAATACTATGAAAGTCAGAGGTTACAAGTCATCAGCTTTCTTCAGAATATCTGGCTTTGTATTCCATTTAATGAAGAAATTTATCAAGGTTTAAAACATCTTGAGTGTTTGTAAATGTTGACTGAATTTGTGTGAACTATCCCTTAAAAATATGAAGTTTCATCTTTGTGCCGTGTAGATTTTTATTTTAAAGATGTATTCATTTTCTAGCCTGATTAAATATCATTCATTATTTAGCAACCTAAATAAATGACAATTAAAAATGCTCTGGTTAAGATCAGATAATTTACATATAATGCAGAGTCTTTGCTTATTGCGGCAGCATGTGATGTTTTCTTTCCTCCTCTTTAGGGTTATCCTGACCAAGCTAGACTGCTGTTGGCCGTTCAGGCTTTGACACTGCGTATATTCCACTCACAACTCCGCCCCATCCTTGGTGTCATCACTGTTTTTAGGGTGCCTATTTTCTCTAGATCTTGTCAGACTTTAGATGCACAGCTGTTATGATATTACTGATCTCTTGTACATTTGGCTTTAGTTGAACCACTGGGCGCTTCATTGGTTCTTCAACAGTCTTCTGGTAAAGCCTAATATTCTGCAATATGTCCTGTCCTGCGTGCTGGAAGAACTGTCTCACGAACCCTACGAGAGGTTAGCCTGTATGCTCACACTCATTTAACCAAACTAAACAAAAGCTAGCATGCTTAACATGTACTTGCACTATAACTATGTTTCAGAAAATTGAGCGAAAGCGATCACTCCCTGGTTGCTTACTTCCTCTGCATGTTCTTCCTGGAAAACAGCATTCTTCTAGATGCTGCATCCTATCCCATCAGTGGTCTGCTTGCGACTTGGGACGAGTAAGCTGCAGCAACCCTTCCCTACTGAAATGCTTATTGTTTAACATGGGCCATTACTAAAAGTTGTTTTAATGATGTTTGTGCATAAATATTTAGTCTAATTCAAATATAATGTTGGAATTGACCCTTCACAAAGCCCCCTTTTCACTTTTAATTTCCATTTAAATTTAGTTATTTCGCCGATGTATTTGTCCAAAGCGACTTACAATTGAGGGATTCAGCTAGGGCTGAGCGACATTGCAAAAAAAAAAAAAAAAAAAAAAAAAAAAGATCACTTTCATATCATTAGATATCAATAATTATTATTTTTTTAACTTAGGAATATTAGGATTTTTTTTATTGTACCACTTTATTTTAGCTTACCAACATTAATAATAATACTAAGGCAAATAGTTTTAATAGTCAAAAACTATAATGTTTAAATAAAGTGTTAAAGAGAATCTTAAACAATGTTGTTAATAAGTGTGTCTAATTTAAAGCCTGAATGCTGAACAATCAAAGAATACTTGAAGGTGTGAATAATAATGATACACCTTGAACAACTGTCAATATCACAAATTATGATAATCAAATCTGAGCTTTCAAGTAAAGGAACCAACATCATTATTTACTTATATACTGCAACATTACTATTTGAAGTTGGATGACTACATTTCCTCCTATGCTAAATAATCTTTCAGATTGGGAGCTACTGGCTGAGATGCACAAGAAAAGAAACCCAAAAGCCACTCTGGCGGTGTTCTTTATTTGCAGTTTCTTCACTGCTGCTATATGGTACTCATTTTCGCATTACCAATGCAGCAGCTCCGATGCAAATTATGGAGAAAAGTAAAAAGTGCTAAAGTGTTTGGGTGCGCTGTGTTTGTCTGAGGTAATTATTCTGTATGTAATACTCTTTGGTAATAATGGCAAAGTATCAAGCAGGTTGAATAGTTCTACTTGCATAAATTGCGGTGTGTATGCGGCATTCGAAAACTATGTTTGTTTGTTTGTTTTTTTTTTTAGCTCTGTGCAGTTAGAAAACACGCACAGTTCACGTGCGCGCCGCTTGTGCCACTTTTCAATTGCACATGAAAGTTGCGCGTGTCCAATGGAAATGACAAACTTGCACCCTAAGCTTATTTGCATTACTTCCAAGGCGTGTGCTTAGCAGCCACATTTTATTAAAACTAGCGCTTCATACCAAACTTTTTTTTTATATTGACAATGGTGCACGGTCAATAAATATCGATATGATTTTATCGCCTAGCCCTATATTCAGCAATGCAACAAGAGACAATGCACACAAGAAGTGCTAATTATTCAAAGTAACTTGTTTGTGCTCAGAGAATTTAGTGCTAGAGTAATTTATTTATAAAAAAAATAACAATAACTATATATATATATATAATCTTTAAAGGGAGAGAGGGAGAAACTGCTTGGTTTTGGTGTTATTCACCAGGGTTTAGGTCTTATCTGAAGAGATGGGGTTTTTAGTTGTTGTCTGAAGGATACCAGTGTATCCACAGTCAGAGTGGGATTGGGAAGATCATTCCACCAGCAAGGAACATTAGAAAGTGACTTACAGCCTCTGTGATGGCACCACACAGCGGTGCTCACACCCACACTCCTGGAGGGGATGTAGAACTTCAGGAGTAGACATACTTTCAGTATCAGTCACATGCTCCCATATTGATTTGTTCACTCACCAGGGACATGTTGAATACTTTCAGTACAAATTACATACTGATTCCAGGAAAAAAAGACATAAGGGTTCGCATTGTGCATATGAGGGGAAATATTTGATGCGAGTGTAAATAAAAACAAATTACATTCTGCAGCAATAGTCGAGGAGGAGGTTGATGATGATAATGGCTGAAGTTTTGATCATCTGAATACAATGAAAAAATTTTACCAATTGGTCCCCTAACACATAATTCACAAACACTCAAATGGTGGCATCTTGAAGAAGACAGTGCATTTATGAATATATGAGACAGTGTAAAGTTAATTCATTGTTTATCTGGGTCTCTAGGCTATGGTTTAAATTGACTCGCCTCATCTAAAGAGTCCTCTGATGGTTTACTGTTTGTCACATCATCATTAACTAAAGTTTTGTCGGCTGTCCAATAACAGAAGAATTTAGCTAATCGGTTCGAGTTCTCATGTTTTGAGCCATTATTTTAGCAAGATCAAAACAGCCCTCTTGATTGACAGTGGCAAATATGCACAGCTTTTGTTTTTCAGCCAACGGTAAACTTCCAGTGAGAACTTCATGTGACTACTTCCAATTTTATAATGTTCCTTTTACAGCAATGATGTAATGTATTTAAAATGCGTTCAGTTAAACAAACTTAAGAATTCATTAAGTTGAAGTGTAAAACCAGAAGAACGGCACCGAAAATCTAGACTGGTGCCATCAGCTGCAGGCTAGTGCAGAAACTCCCCTAATGCTGGGGTAAAATACACTTTCATATTTTAAAGACATGTTGCGGAAAAATTACATTTAATTTAAATGCAGTGCTTCTGTCTAGTCTTGAGACTCACTTTATATCGTAAATCAGGCAGTGAAGATCACGGAATAAAAAACAACTCAAACGTGGTGATTTTGTAATGGATATAGTGCACTGGAAGTGCATTTGTCCATGTACGTACACAACATTGAGGAGTACACTGTCCACAAAAACGTATCGGTTTCATTCACTTCTCTAGGTTTCTGGAAGAGAACAAATGTATGCCCAGCCTTTCTGGGTACCTGCTGTCTGATATAAAGAAAACATTTTCACAATTCTTAATGTTAATCATGGATGTTTCTCTAGTATCAATCAAACTGCTGCGAAGGGTCAATTGCCTAAGTTGTTGTGGATGATGCACATTGTAGAGTAGATTATTAAAAATAAAAAAACTCTGGGAAAATAAATTGAATGTCATCATAAGGTACTTTAGTCATAGTTCATATAATTTATTTTTGCTAAATTATCAAACTGCTTGAGTTTGAAAATGTATCCTTTACTTTCAGATCGCACAACCCTTGGCAAATACGCTTGAGGCTGCATCTTGAATGCAATGTAAGATTTTTTTGCTATTACTATTCTATACTTCAAAAGTCTAATTGTTTAGATTTCAGTAACCCATGTGTTCTGTTCTCCTGCAGGCTGCAAGACTCACTCAAGAAAAACGCCAAATCCTGCAGCTCATCCAACGCCTGAGAAAATGACCCTGACTCATCCTGAAGAAAAGAATATTTATGGGTTTTATTGTAGTTAAGATCAATTTTTTATTTCTTATACTTTTTAATAAGGCTGATTTTGTTATTTGCACAGTTATATTCAGCAAACAGAGTTTCAAGTCTTTAAACATTAGTGGTATTGTAAATAAATAGTTAAGATTCAAATGCAACTGATACAGAGCTGTTCAATATTGCTTTGTTATACAGTAGCTCATTTAAGCTTGTGAATGATTGCAATTCTCAGGGAACTTTTCACAAGCAATTAAGCCATAATTACTGTATAAGTGCCTTTTGTAAACAAGATATCACAACATGCAGAAACTGTAAATATAATGTTAAAGCTGAGCAACACAGCTTTGTGTCTGCAGTCAAAGCCAAGTATTACAACACTACATTGCACAAATCTTTGAGTAGTTTTTGTGAATGACTTTCACAGTTTGAAGATGGATGTTGTGGTGTAGCTGAATAGGAGCACATTGGGAGTAACCTCCATGAAGTGCAGTTTGATGAGTTCAGATAAATAGCGAAGGATTTTCTTGTCATCAGTGTGAAGTTCAGAAAGAAAACATTCTGTCCCTGAGCTTCCCTGGGGCCTGCTGGGTGAAGGGTGACCATGTGAGAATGTTAAGAGGAATGCTTTGGTGACGAGCTTGCTTTGCACACTTTGAGCGAATGTGAAGTAGGTGTTTCCACGTTTAAAGTGGCTCTTGGGTTCCACCAGCAGGTTGATGAGAGAACCACTGTAGGTCGGGCAGTGCAGGGTTTTTTGATCTACATCTAGGATACTGAGGTACCGGCTGTAATGGTCCAGGCAGTGAGGCAGACTTGAGGGATTAAAACTGCACATCCTGTGGTAAAAGACAAAAACAATTTATCAAAGTGGTGTGACAGCTGGTTTAACTGTACTGAAACGTTGAAATTTCTTAAATATGTCAAGTCTGATTCATGAGAACAAACAGCATGCGTCTCTCTCAGATGTAAAATCTTCAGATTGCAAATAATCTTAAAATTGTGCGCAGTCAAATGGTTTTACACATGAAGTGTGCTAAATTGAGCTGTAATGTGTGATTAAGCTGACGAGGTAGGCTGTAGGGAAACTAATATCCTTTATGTTTTTGTTGGTTAATTACATTTTTAATTTGATATTAATATTACAACAAATAATACAAATTATTTATGCTGCCTAAATTTCATTTTAATGGTACCAGATTCTAACAAAAGGTAAAGGGTTGTATGTATGTATACTTGATGAGGGTGTTACACACTGTTTCAAATCAGAGCGTTTAAATGTAAACTTTTTGGCATAAACTTAGTTTACACTCTAAAGTCAAGTTTCAATGCGAGTGCACATTTTATAAATGAGACTGCAGACCTTTCTCTATATTATACCTGCTCGCTCTCCCTACACACACTTTTTAACAGTTGCAGTGTTCTTTAAGCCAGTGTTTTTCAGCCACGTTCCTGGAGGACCATTTTACAATGTACCTGATTTAAATCAACAGCGGAGACTGAAAGACCTGAAATGAATGTGACACACTAAGGAGACATCCAAAACATGCAGTGCTGGTGGTTCTCCAGGAACATGGTTGTGAAACACTGATTTAAGCCCTTTCACAAAGCTTAGAGCTATATACAGTACTATTGCCCTTATTCTTCAATGCAGTAGTGCACTCATTTTTTTTTTCGTCGCTTATGGGGGAAAAAAATCCAGGAGTAAATAACATCAAAAAATCGTAAAACTACTTGCTGTACAAACAAGAATTTGCATTACTATACAGACCCAGTAGAATAATCTAACAAGAAAATATCAGTTTGAAACATCAAACAGCAGAATGAATGAGCTGTTTTTAACATCTAAAAATAAATGGAAGTGAATGAAAACGCAAGTCTCGAGCCTAAAAGATTGAAATGGCTGTGCCCACTCATGAAAAGAATGAGGTGAATATGCCAAAAATACTCAACCCTGCTTTTCAAGATCTGCTCATATATTTTATCATGCTTTATCCAGGTCTAAGCAAGTTTCAAAATGAAAATTATTATTAAATTATGAAAACCATCTCAATAGCCATTATAGCACATGTTGAAAGGTAAAGAGTCTCCGGGCCTACTACGTGCCAGGGGACTTTATTTTAATGATTCAAAACAATACACATTTAGGCCAACCAATATTTCAGTGTGGCACCAATTTTATTTAAATTTGGGATCAGAAAGGTTTGAATCGAGGAAACCGTGACTTAAAAAACAAACAAACAAAAAAAGTTTAATTTCCATAGAGATTATTTTGAACTCATTCAGCCAATCAATCTGGGTCTGACGGGAGCATTTTTAGCTCATCCTATAATATATACCTGAAATGACTAAAGAGTTTAGATGCTTTTCCTCTTTAAAACTCAAGCTGCAGCAGGTGCGATGATATAGCATTTGGAAATAGTGCCTAGCAATGTGACTTTCAATGTAACCACCTGCTTGCAAAGGAAGTGCTGCAGCCATGGTATGGCAGCATAGTTCCTCTATTTTGTAGATGGATAATAAATGTTACCTGTCAAAACCAATGAGTTTCCAGTTGAGCAGGTCCGTAAGCTGCAGTGGTGTTGAAGTCCAAGGCTGGATGCTGTCTTTGTATTTAGTCAGATGTGGCAGGTACACGGACAGTGCTGTAACTAGTCGTCTCACAGCAGCCTCCTCACTTCCTAGTACCACCAATGTTCGGCCACTTAGAAGGCTAAACACTGCATGCACTGCAAAGGGAAACTGCCGCATGAACTGAAGTGCTGCTCTTCCTACTCTGCCTCGTCTCCGTCTGGTCCCACCTTCTCTTTTGTCCTTGGGAAGACACGCAGGGAAAGTGCATTCGGAGGTCGTGGATGCAGTGGTGCTCCGATAGCTGAAGCAGTCTGATAAATCGTCAGGTACCATCCGGCTGGGCTCATCTAACAACAACATAGTGGCTGATTCTGTTGCTTGACAAGAGTCTTGAAAGCTTGTTTCTTCTAGAGTCAAAGGGCAGTCTGGTGGGGTTACAGTGACTGATGGATGTAGCTTTTTCAAACATGCATTTTCATGATCTGCAGAGATCTTTCCCTGAACATATATACTCTTTTCATTGTTGTCTTCTTGATATTGAGACGAGTTTTTCTCATCAGTCTCTTGCTCTGGGCTTTCTTCATCAATTGCGCAGGGGTATGAGGCACGCAGTTCATCAGGTAAGATGGATTCTGTTATGCAAAGCACCTCAATGCTGTCTTCACTGCATGTTCGTCTGGTAGGCACCCTTCCTTGCTTTAGACCTTCCAGTGCAGTGGCACTAGACAAAGGTGGAGGTCTGTGCATTGCTGTTTCCACTGGCGTATTTGCCCCCTGGGATCTAAATGACCTCTCTGTTCCCAACACCTCAATACTGTCTCCACTACTAATACTGGTTTTCATCAAATTCGAGACACTTTCCACATTTCCTTGACAATCTGGAGCTGAAATGATCTCATCTTTCATCTCAACCTCTGCTGGGGATTTGTCTGCTACTTGGGGTCGGTTGTCCTCTGAAGGTGTATTTAAAGTGCTATGTTGAACTTGAGATTGGCTGGATCCACCCAACTCAAGTTTTATTGGCACCATTTCAACACAAGATGCGTATGACTCAAGACTGACCGGTCCACTTAGAAATGAGGGTGCAGGAAGAAAGGATGTTTGCTGGATTGTGCTTTGCCCAATCTGTAACCCTACATCATCGTTCAGGTCGCACAGATCCTCAAACAAGAAATTAGTAGATTTGAGGTTGCGGAGGAGATTTCGGCAGAGTTGTTGAGTGTAGAGATAGCAGGCGTCACCTCTGAACGTTCTCTCGATAGAGTACAGTTGCTGCAGTGCTTGTTGGTAGAAGTAGTCATCACACAATTCCTCGAGAGTTTTCAGACGCTTGTCAAATCGGCTGGATGACGTGGAGTTAATCTGCTGCAGAGTTTGTGAGGGTGTGTTTGTATAAGTAAAAACACTGCATTCTAGCATTGGCCCGGAAAACTGACTGTCCAGGTCGAGGTCAAAAGACTGAGGGAGGTCATCAGGTTCATAAGGGGAGTATTCAGAGTCTCTAAGCTTTCTAGTTGGGTAACAAGTGACCTGCTTTAGAAGGCTTTTATAGTCTTGAATCAGTTTTTCTACACTGGCCAACTCATCATTTTTGTTAGCCAAAGGCATTGGACATGATGTTTTATCCGGTTTGTCCTTTCTTTGTTTCCCGTACTGTTCAAGTTCAAAATGTGACCTATTCTCATTTTCAAGCTTCACTTCCACCTTTCTAGAATTCCCACATCCGTCTTTCTCTTGCGGTGAGATTTCATCTGTGTGAGAGGATTTCTCGTTCAGTTTCACCTCATCTGCATTCCTCTCAAATGAATGTACACCATTTAATATTGGTTCCCTTTCACTGCTGCACTTTACAGACACAGTATTTAACTCTTTCTGTAACACGACTCTTGTATACTCCAAATCTCTAAGCTTTACCTCCAGTTCATTCGCAAAGTTCTTCCTGTTTCCAGTTTTCAGACATTCTGAGACTTTGTT